TCCATGATCAGCACCGTACTCACCAGTTTGGGCCATTGGCTCTTGTCACAAACAAATCCTGAGCGGCTAAAAAACTGCTTGGATTTGATTTGGAGCGATTGATTTACTTAACGGCAAGATAGAAAATCAATTCTGGCAACTTTGACGAATTTCTGCCCGAAGATCGTTTGATCACCTTGAGTGACTACAGAATTACCATAGCTTTAACGCAGTTTCTATAAATTTTTTTACTTCTAAGGAAGCTTTTAGGAAAGTTCTGTGACTTTCAAGGAAGTTCTGTGAACTATTGAGAAGGAAACTTCAGGGAACTGCAGTGAACTTTAGGAATGAGCTGAAAACTTCAAAGACATATGAAAGACTTCAGAAAAAAAAAGATTTTCGAATTTAAGGAAAGTATTCCGAGCTTCAGGAAAATTCTGCCAGGTTCAGGGACATTTTTCAACTCGAAAGCTCTACGAGCTTCAAGAAAACTCTTGAACTTAAACTCGACAATGAAGTTCTGTGAACACCTGGAAAATTATGCAAACTTCAGTGAAGTTCTGCGAATTTGAAAAAAATTCTGAGAATTTTGGGGATCTGCTTCAAATTTTGGGGACGATCAGCACTTTTTTTTCGGAAAGTTAATTGAGCTTAAGCGATACTCCCAATATCAGTAAAATTCTAAAAAATTTAGGGGTGATCTGTGAACTTCACGATATTTTTGTAAACTTGAGAGAATTTTTGCAAACACATGTAAGTTCTATGAACGCAGGAAAGTTTTACGAACTTCAATGAAGATCTCTGAAGTTAAGGAAAATTTTATGAACTTTAGTAGAGCTGTGCGATCTCCAAAACAATTTACAAAATCCAGAGAAAAAAAGAGGTTTTACAAACTTCAAGGAAGTTCTACAAACTTCAAGGAAGTTCTTCAAACTTCAAGGAAGTTCTACAAATTTCAAGGAAGTTCTACAAACTTCAAGGAAGTTCTACAAACTTCAAGGAAGTTCTACAAATTTCAAGGAAGTTCTACAAACTTCAAGGAAGTTCTACAAACTTCAAGGAAGTTCTGAAAACTTCAAGGAAGTTCTGCAAACTTCAAGGAAGTTCTACAAACTTCAAGGAAGTTCTGCAAACTTCAAGGAAGTTCTGCAAACTTCAAGGAAGTTCTACAAACTTCAAGGAAGTTCTACAAATTTCAAGGAAGATCTACAAACTTCAAGGAAGTTCTACAAACTTCAAGGAAGTTCTACAAACTTCAAGGAAGTTTTACAAAATTCAAGGAATTTCTACAAACTTCAAGGAAGTTCTGCATTCTTCAAGAAAGCTCTGCAAACTTCAAGGAAGTTCTTCAAACTTCAAGGAAGTTCTTCAAACTTCAAGGAAGTTCTACAAATTTCAAGGAAGTTCTACAAACTTCAAGGAAGTTCTACAAATTTCAAGGAAGTTCTACAAACTTCAAGGAAGTTCTACAAACTTCAAGGAAGTTCTACAAACTTCAAGAAAGTTCTACAAACTTCAATGAAGTTCTACAAACTTCAAGGAAGTTCTGCAAACTTCAAGGAAGTTCTACAAACTTCAAGGAAGTTCTACAAATTTCAAGGAAGATCTACAAACTTCAAGGAAGTTCTACAAACTTCAAGGAAGTTCTACAAACTTCAAGGAAGTTTTACAAAATTCAAGGAATTTCTACAAACTTCAAGGAAGTTCTACAAACTTCAAGGAAGTTCTACAAACTTCAAGGAAGTTCTACAAACTTCAAGGAAGTTCTACAAACTTCAAGGAAGTTCTACAAACTTCAAGGAAGTTCTACAAACTTCAAGGAAGTTCTACAAACTTCAAGGAAGTTCTACAAACTTCAAGGAAGTTCTACAAACTTCAAGGAAGTTCTACAAACTTCAAGGAAGTTCTACAAACTTCAAGGAAGTTCTACAAACTTCAAGGAAGTTCTACAAACTTCAAGGAAGTTCTACAAACTTCAACGAAGTTTTTTTTAGCCTTAGGGAAATTCTTTTTACTTTCAAGACGCACTTCAAACTTCAGAGAAGGTCTTCATGCTTTAGGTAAAGTACTGCAAACTTTAGGAAAATACTACGATCGAACTTCAGGAGTATTCTGCGAACTTCAGGAACGTTTGGAAAATTGTATGAATGTTTCTCGATCACGAGGAAGTTCAATGTGAACTTCATGAGAGTTCTGTGAACCCTAGCATAATAATATGAACTTAAATATAGATCTGCAAATACTATGAAAGTTTTACAAAAATCAGAAAAGCTCTTCAAACGTCAGGAAAGGTCTGCAAACTTTAAGCACCTACTGCGAACCACAGGGAAAATCTTATAAAATTAGGAAGTATTGTGAACTTTAAGAAATATCTGCGAATTTCAGAAAATGTTTACCAAGTTCAGAGACGTTCTTATGCTATTTCAGAAAAAAGGCATCGTAAAAATCAAAGAGTAAGAGGGGGGGGGGGGGGTATATTGCCAAAATTAGAGCTTGCCACCTACAAAAATATCCTAAGTACTGTTATATGACTGTATGGTTTCGGGTTTGATTGGCTCAGTCAGTATGAGCAAGTTTAGTAAAATGCTTGTTTTTTAAAGGCCTCATTTGCTGTTGAATCATCGATCTTCTAACGCTTTAAATTTCACAAGAACCCATTAGAGAATTGTCGATCAACAGGATATGCTTGAACTTTAGGACGAATCACACCGATTGAGAATGACAATTCCCTAAAATACAACGTCCGAGTTACATTGTGATATTTACAGAAGTCCAAGATTTTCAGAATCTTCAAAATGCAGACTTTAAGTCTCAGCTCATCGACTTTGATGTGGAAATTTACGACGCAGGTCATCTTCATTTGGCCGGCCGGCTACCCCAGTAACGTTACACATGAAACTGGTTATAACGTTTGTTACATGGCCAGAGAACCAATATTTCTGGGGTACATTGACTTTGCTCTAGAGCTGTCATGATGCTCTCATCTTGCATTTTTTTGACGTAGGACTACGTCTGTGATTTCTATTTGTGAAAACCGAAATGTAACGAAATTATGAAAGATTTTGAACGTTGATAACTCAGTTGCCCCTGAACCAATTTCAATAATTTTATCACCAACCGATCAGAAATATTTCTACGCATCTGTTAAATTTAAGACTTTATCATTTTTCAAAATGTCTCTATTTAAAATTGATTGAATGTGGAACTGTTGCTATGATAATTAAAATTATCACCAATTGCCTGCAAAAAGCGATTTCCCTAACACAGATTTCAAAGTTGAATTCCATCCGGTCCGGGGTGTTTATTCAATCACCGCGTAGTGAGTGATGGTGTTCTCCAGTACACAACGAAAGGATCCCCGCAAGCAGCTAGCTATCAAGGCTGCCCTCAACCGCTGATTGGGTTCAGTCTGGTCGTCGGAATCAGCAGCAGCAGCAGTGCTTCGGCACGTGACGTTGAATATTGTTCTTCAGTACACAACGAAAGGCTGCCTGCAAGCAGCGAGCTGCAGCCCACATGAGCATCCATAGAAGGAGGAAGAAGCCGCACCGCTATTGATTGGAATCAGTAGCTCTTCGTGAGTCGCTGTGGGCCATTTATGCCAAGCGCGTCATACTTAAGAGGATAAACCGAGAGAACCCCACTCAAATTCCTATTCGTACACAAAACACAGCTCCTGCTGCAGTTACAAATAACATTTATTATATAGGACCACGTAGTCCTACGTCACCATTGTGTACAACCCCATAAAGCTGTCCTTTGTAGCTTTTTTTTTCAGATTTCATACTTCAATCGGTTATTCCAATACTTTCAACCGTCGATGCCATACTGTCAGGACATTTTTACTACTACTAACGGTTAGAGAGTGACACCTTTAGTAACGGCTCTCGTCACTTTGAACAATAACAAACGGGATCTCAGCTCTCGCTCTCTCAATTTCCACATCACCCACCAGAAACCAGAGAATTCAGAGAGATATTCGCCAATAGCTCCTCGCCACCCATTCCATCGTGCGCCCTCACCCACATGGTTTTCGCAAATCCCTTGTAGTGTTTTTGTTATTTTCCCAAACAAGATCCGTCCTATCCTCCGTATTTTCGGCTACAAGCGCGCCTTCGGAATTCCACTTTTCCAACAACAACAACAACAACAGCAACATCGACGACGACGACGACGACGACAGACGTTTGTAGTACTCGATCCGGTGCCGCCTGGAAGTAGGCCACCTCAGTTGCTCTCGAACGGTGTTCCGAGATAACCGTGTTTTTCTACGATCTGCGGTTCGTGTGCTTGGTCGAGAACCTATCTGAGGCCCAATTTTTGCTACACCCGTGCGAAAGGGTCACACACGCGTTTTTTTTTTCGATTTTAGGCTGTCATTCAGAGAAGATTTCAGGGGCGCGAGAGTGTGATTTGCAGTCAGCTGGTGACGTGAAACCCCGTGTGGATATTTGCGGTCATCCCCCGGGCGGTGGTGGTGGTGATAATCGATTCTCCCTCTGTGTCGAGCGAAGACGGAATGCGAATGTGATTTCGGCGAGCCCTGCCAAATGGAAGTGGGAGTGTGCGTTTTTTTCCGCTCGTTGTTGTCGGTCGCTTTTGGGTGGATGAAAATTGATTAATAATAGTGGAAAAAGCTTTTAATTTTGGCTGTTTTTCCTAGCCCAGACGACGGGTGTACGTGCGAGTGAAATCGGAAAATGTGAAAAGCTAAAAAATTGCGGTCATTTAGTGGTGGGATGTTTTTGCCCGGTATGGGGAGTATCAGCACATAGAAAATATTTGTTTGCGGTGTCGGTTGGAGGAAATGTTGCAACATTAGCTCAATTTCGAACGTGATCGGTGTGCTTGAAGAGCGAGAGTGAGTCGATACGGCGAGTGGCACGATACACGAAAGCGTCGAAGGCAAGCGAACTCAAGTGGGTGGAAAACCGCCCACCACCCCGGCGAGTTGAAGGCACGTCAGGAAATAATGTAGTGAAGTGAAGTAGAAACTTGTCCACAAAAATGTGTATGACAACTAAATCGATTCTGCTAATCTGCCGTGCAAAGTTTGCTAACCTAGAAAAGTTCTACGTACCGGTTGTCGGTTGCGACAGTGATGTGGTGAATCCTGCATGAGTGAAGAAGAAAATTCTAGTGGAAATTGACAGTGCTTGCGGCGGGAGAAAAGTGCGTGAGTGTGAATTCGGCAGGCCATCACTGGAGGCAACGCAAATTTTAGCTGACAGTTTGAATATCCTAACCATCCAACCGTCGACGAGAGACGTCCTGGGATTATCAACGAGGACCACCCGCAGCAACACGCCGGAAGATTCACCACACTAACCAAGTCGGTTCGGCAAAAAGTGAGTCCCACTTCCCTTTTCTTTCGGAGGGTTTGCTTTGTGCTTTGTACTTGGTTAGACATTCTGGTTCAACAGCCCGGATCCCCTTCCTGCTGCGAGTCCACTCTTTTGGCCAGAGCACAGCAGACATACACAGCGTGAAGAAGAGAAGGTCGAATCCGCTGCGGAAATTACTACCATCTCTGCTTTGCTGTCGTCTGCTTCCGATATCATTTCCATCCGCTCGGGTGCTGCCATCCGCCATCCCCCCCTCCGAACGATGATGTTCCGGCATGGAAACTGACCCCACTTACTTGGGTTTCGTTTGAACGGTGCGGGTGGCTTGGCGGCAACCGGAGTGTGAGAGTGAGCGCGTGAATATGATGGTTTGCTTCTTAAAAGTGTTTTGGATAGTATCCAAAAAGCTTCGGCTATTCTTGGACGTTTCTTCAGCTTTTGGGACGATGGTGGACCAGTGCATTTGTGCATTACTTTTACGTGTTGACCTAATTCAGAAAGGGAGAATACAAAAATTTATTACCATTCTGTTCATAATGCTTGCTTTTTCTGCCGCCATTTACGTCTGATAATAAGTTAATTTGGTCAAATAGGATCCCGAGCGGTACAAAATAACTTATGCATACCAAGTTCTGTTCCTGATACCAATATTTAGTGTCGATCAGCCTGACTGGTAGACAGGTTAAATAAGATGTCATGAAAATCGCTATCACATAAATTGCAGAATTTATGTTATTTTAATGGGGTGAATTGTTTATGATAATTTTTAGGTAAAATTATAACGATTTTCTATTTATCGAGTATTATGATGTACAAAGCAGTGATGCCCGAGGAGATGCCAACATTCCAGTTTAAACTTGATTCTTTAGAATTCACTCAATTTTTTTTTTAGAAACCACCCAGTTTTCCAATATTAATAATAGTAAAATATTTAAAAGTATGATTACCAGTACAGAATGATTAAGATGCATACACTTAAACTGCAAAATGCGTGGCGATGCTACGATCAAGCTCGCTTCACGGCAACGGGGCAGGCGTGCTGTGTCAGCATCGACACGCATTTTGCAGGTTTGGTATTATGACAGTTAACATAACTTTTTGTCAAAATTAACCTTACTGATGTTGAGAACTTGTACCAAATCGGTTAGTTTCAGAACAATGGAACCATCTCAAATCTTGCCGTCGTCAATATTAATGGTTTATGTCTGTCTGATGTAGACCACTTCAATTGCTCTCGAACGGTATTACGAGATAACCGTGCTTTTCTACGATCTGCGGTTCGTGCGCTTGGTCGAGAACCTATCTGAGCCCCAATTTGTGCTACACCCGTGCGAAAGGGTCACACAAAAATCGATATTGTACCTGTTTGTCATAATTTCTTGAATCTTGGTCCCCTAAAATATTAATTGTCTTGTCATTATGCTATGGAAGCAACAAATTTCTTCCACGTTGTTCGTATCGCATCTGGTTGAAGTTAGCTCTGCAATCCATCGCAAAGTGTCCTGGTTGATTACACGAAAGGCATACTTTCATATTCTTCCATAGTGCTGCTGCGTTGAATCGTATCATCCGAAAGGCTTGAATTACTTCACTGACAGTTCCAAAGTTCTGAATTTTTGTTTGGTTTCGAAATGCAGGATACTCAATGCCTTCGACTAAATATTCAACTAGTTATTTGTCCGGTAAACTGAGTTTGTTTGCTAAAATACGCTTCGACTCGCAGTATTCTTCAAACGATTCTTTTACAGGTCATGGTCTCATAGCTAGCTGTGTTCGTAGTTGATACGCATTGACGGGAACGGGGAACATAGCTTGAAGACTTTCAGATATTTCGTTGTAGCTTTTCAACATGAAACCTGCGTTAGAATACAAACAGTGTTGGGCTTTTCTTTTCAGTTGCTTGATCAAATCAATCTTCAAAACTTGATCATGAACAAGTTCCGCTAGAAGCTGCTTATGCTACCGCAACATTCAAGTTCTAATCACGACTTAAAAATGAGGCTGCTTAGAATTCTAAAGACTACCTTCAACCGGGCTGCTTAAACTTCAAATAGCCTTTTATCAGAACTTTTGGTTACTTGGGTATGGAAACCCAACACCCTTGTGACACATTCTTCCAATATGTATCCACATTTTATACATTAACTTAAGAAAATTACAAGTTGCAAATATGGACAGTCTGATAAATTTCCCATAATAATTGGTTCAGAGTTTGTGATTTGAGTAGCTCAAAATGATGATAACACTTGATTCGACACATTGATTTATGTTTAGGCTTTAGTTGAAACATATAGCAATCAAAATTTAATTTAACGTGAAAGTATTTCATTCGTTTGCGTTGAATTTCACATGCCTATATGTTTTTACATAACAGTGAAAAGTTTATTTGATGATAATTGAATTTTCTACGAAAAACCATATTAATTTGCATTAACGGTGTAGATTTCAGTTTAAGTTCATTGGAATACTGATTGGTGATTGGTATTTTTTTTATTCAAAAGCCTGCTCTAGTTTGTAGCTGAAAATTTCAAAATATTTTTATCTGTGTATGTTGCGTGACATTGCAAGGTTTTCCCTTTTCAACTACAATACTACTCAGCAAAATCTTTTAAGCTACTAAAACCAGAAACTCATTATTATAGGAAGTTTAACGCACTTCCAAATCTGCAATAATGAAACTTTGCATAATTGTTTGTTATGGGCAATAATTCAGATATTTTTGAAATCAGCCATTTTGGACCATTCCTTGATCCTGGTTCATAACATTTTCTAAACATTGAATCTCGGAATTTATTAATTTATTAAATTTTTCATATCCTGGATATTGAATCTTTAATTTTGACCAATATCTCGACATAAGTTAAATGTGTTTTTTTTTAGTTTTCCTTGTATTGTTTTCCGTCGATCTTGTTTTCCCTACTGAGTACCAATGCAACCGACGCCATGAAGGCAGCTCCCACACCTGGACCTTACTATCATCTCATGGACCGGGGAAATTCAACCTCTTAAAATGTTCGTTTTAGTTTGTTGTTATAATTATTTTATTTGTACAGGCTCAATCGAATAAACTTTACAGAGCCGAGTTATCCTTTGCGTTATACATTATTACTGTCTTAAATTTAAAGTTAAAGGAACTGGACTGAGTACTCGCGGTTGTCTCGAGGTTAGTGGAGATTTACAATTTTTTGGATGGGAAAAGGGAAGAAGGAGGCTTGAAATGTGGCTTACGATACAACTATATAATTAATCCTAAAGCATGAAATTATTTCTATTCATCTTGAAAATAAACATTGAAAAAAAAAACCCACACGTACAAAATACAAACTAACGGGTGGCAACTAAAATTTTGGAATTTCTTTCTCAAGCTGTCAAAAAAAGACAAACATACTTGAAGAAGATCTGATTTATTGAAATTAAAGATGCATTGTCCATTGTTGAAAAAAAAAAAAATAGTGAACATTTGAAAACGGTCCGTTATCGGATGTTCGGCGAAGCTTCCGTTTGATGTTGAAACAGGAGCGTTGTACGGCCTTCATGTCAACTTTGCGAATGCATCTCTTGATTCTACCAATCAACTGTTTGCAATTCGTGGCTCTCCAGTTATTTTTGTACACCAAGGAGCTCAAAACCTCGAAGAAATCTTCGATTGGGCGACACTGAGGCAGATTTGTCGGGTTGTGGTTTTTGGGTACAAATGGGATCGAATGGGTATTCAGGAACGATTGTGTTTTTTTGGCGTAATGCGATGACGCTTTATCCGGCCAAAACACGTATTGTCCATCAGCATGATGTTTTTGTAGAAACGGGATCAAAATTTTCTTCAAACATTCGTTCTGGTACACATATTGATTGATTGCCAAACCAGAGGGTTTGAACCATGGCACGAGAAAGAGAACGAAGTCCTTTTGCGTCCATAATTTTGGCTGGTATTCCACTACCTTGCTTGCGAGCAGTTGTTGGGGATCTTAGGATATGGTAAACAGTCGAAGCCGCAACATTTTCGCTTTTAAAATGTTGTACCGTATACTTTTTGCCGAGATTTCTGTGCAGTTCGTAGAACTGTACAACGCGCTCGCGAAACACTTCTTGTTTCGACGGCATTTTGAGCAAAACTGAGCAAGCATAAACAAAACAGAAAATACTAGTTTAAAGAGGAGAGAGAGAGCTAACACATACACACTCGTACTTCTCTCTGAGCTCGTTTGTTGTTGAGCATAGAGGCCTCGAAAAAATTTCAAAATTTTAGTTGCCACCCGTTAAACGCAAGGTTAATCAAACTTACAATCTTAGGTTAATATTCTTAAAGTAAACATAGGGGAAATGCATGTAATGTCGGCCAAAGTGTTCCTAATTTGGGCCCATACATAAATTCTGCAATCAACTAAATTTTCAATAGCAACTAAAAATATCCATTAGATACATCCCAATAACGCGTTCATCTAGATAAAATTGATAAATAGCAGACTTTTAGCTATGGGCCCAAATTAGGGACATGTAGGCCGACATTACCTACATTTCCCCTATATGAGTTTCATAAACTCCAGATCGCGTCTAGCCAAAATATCCTGAACTGGAACATTAGGTTGTCTACCTCGAGCCCTCGTTCCTGCCATCCAAGTCGTCCCGGCCCTGAGTCTAGCGCTGGCGATGGGGTCTTCCAAGCTGCCTATCATGGGAAGTATCCTGTTAGT